TGGAAATGGAAAATCAAGTGGAAGAGGAGCAACAGAAACCCGAACCAACAGTAGCTGAGCCAGAAGCTGATGCTGAAGCCGCAGAAGTCGAGCTGACAACAGAAACCACTGCCGAGCTCGAGAATGCAGCTGAAATCGAGACGCAAAAAGAAGGAGAGCAGCAGCCAGAGCCAGAGACGGAGACGGAGAAGGAGTCAGAGCTGGAGTCTGAAACCGATCAGGCAGAACAAAGCGCCGACATCAAGCCGACAAGTGGCGAAGATGATTTAAATGAAGCCAATCAATTAAATCAAGAGCAAATCGCGGAGCAGCAACCAGCTGAAGACGATGTTGACCGAACAACCGAACAGCAGCAAATCAATGAGGAGCAGGGGGAACAGAATGTGCAACCTGAGCTGGAGGAGGAGACGGTGGAGAGCCAGACGGAGACTGTGCACCAGCCAGCCGAGGTGGAGGCAATCAGCGAAGCGCAACACGAAGAATTGACTTACCCAGCAAATGATGATGAATTGGCGCCAGAGCAGACCACAGAGCAGGTGGCCGAAGAGGAGGAGGAGAAGGAGGAGGAGCAGCAGGCGGAGGCAACGACTGAACGAACGGCAGCTGAACCAGAAATCTTGACAGCGGAGACTGAACTAAATGCAAATGCAATTAAGACGCCCGAAGTGTCGGAAACAATTGCAGAGAAACAGCCCGAGGCGACGGCAGAGTCAGAGGCAGAGTCGGAGGCAGAGCAGTTGGACAACATTGCTAATGATGAGGTGTCGCATGTGGATGAAGTTGAGGCGTTGCCAGAGCCGGAGCTGATGGAGGCCCATCACCATCATGCTGTTGAAGGTGCAGCCGAGGCTGGCACTGAAATAGCGCCAGCGGCATTGACAATTAACCAAGATGAGCAGATGCAGGAAACGAACACCGAAGCTTTGAAGGAAACCGAACTCAATGCGGAGGCAGCGACGGAGCTGGCGGAAACTGTCACCGCCGACAACAGTGAAAGTGGAGAGCTAGATGAAACGGAAATGGACAAAAATGAAAATGATAATATCATACAAGGAGCGGAGCCAAATGTGGAGCAACAGCCAATCAAGGCCACCGAGCCACAGTCTGAGCCCGAGACCGAGTCCGAGCCCGCAGCTACTGCAACTGAGCAGACCGAACAGACCAAACTGGAAGCCGAGCAGACGCTGGACTACAGCAGCATTGAGCAGCTGAAGGAACACAACCTGAACGATAAGCAGCAGATACTCGAGACTGTTCAAGCTGAGTCTGTGACAACAGAAGCCGAAACGGAGATTGCAGCCACCCAAACGCCAGAGCTGGCCGCCGAGGTGCCCATTGTCAGCGAGGAGCAGAATACGGATGACTTCAAGGAGAGCGAGAGCATTGCGGGCATACTCAACGATCTGATGCTGGAGGGCGACAGCACAGTTCCACCCGTGCCATTTGGGCAACAGCCTGGCCAAACCATGCCCATGCCGGACGAGCACGTGCACCATCAGCAGCAGCAACAGCTGGAAGAGACCGAGATGCCAGCCATACCCGATCTATTGGCGGAGGCGGATGAGCTACATGAGCAGCAGGAACAGCCGGAGCAGCAGGAGCAGCACGAAGATGAAACCGTTACCGAATCGTCCAGCAAGGAGCTGGATGAGAAGTTAATAACCTTCTATCCCGAGATGCCGTCAGAGCAGGAAGCCAGCACAGCTGCAGCTGAACAGACAGACGAACCAGAGTCGACCACTCCCGAAGCCGAAGATGAACCGGAACGCACGCTGTCACCCGATGAGCTACCCTTTGACCTGATCGACAACTCTGGCCCCATCAGGCTGCAGGAGCTCGAATCGGACAGTCTGATACTGGAGTCGACCACATTGGATACGCTGCTCGATCACAACAACCACATCGAGGAGGCAAATGTTGCACCCGCTGCCAGCCAGACGCACGAGGAGGCGACGCCCAATCCCGCTGACATTGTAGAGATCACCACCCAAACAATGCTCGGCTTGGCCAGTCGGGTCACACTCATGGAACCCGCTGCGCCGGTGGTCACCACCCTAAAGCCGCTCATGCCCGCAGAGGAGGCTACACCGCAACCAGCTGAGATTCCGGTCGCTCCCGTCGCCGCGCTGCCCCTGTTGAGCGGCAAGCCGGGCTCCGAGCTGCGCAAGCGTGTCGATCTGGGTCTGGAAGCCATCTCGCTGGGTCTGCCCTGCGCCAGCGATCGTCAATGCCAGCTGGCCGATCCACACACGGTGTGTAATGCACGCGGCGTTTGCGACTGTGCAGCGGCTAACGGCGAACAGGGACAATGCAGCGCAGAACGCACAGGTTGCAGTCCCGGCACCTTCCAGGTAAGCTTGCACGAAATTCTTTTTTCAAAAATAATCTTTAGCTAAGGTAGGCGTAGCTCCAATTAATAGACTTGATCTTAGCTTATTTTTTATATTGTTTCACATGGTAAGTTAACCTGTACCTAAAATTACCAGCAACATGTTCTACTTATGGCATTAAAGTGTACCCTTCTTGGAAGAAATCCATCAGCTTAAACCCTTTTTAGTGAAACAAATTTGATGTATGTCAAATTTTTTTAACTATAATATATTCACACGGTTCAATTATCTCCTCACTAAAATTCCAAGTAAAATTAACCATTTCCTATTAACATGTACCTTGAATATAAAATGTACCAAAGTAAAGTCATTAAATGACTCAATTTTACAATTGCTAAATTATTTTGCCATGATTTAGTCACACGGAAAATTTATCGTGTACCCATTTACCATGGATGGAAAATGTACAAAAGTGTACCACTTCATATTTATAAATTGACTCCATTTAATCAATGCTAGATTCTTTTTATGATTTAGTCACACGAAAAATTTATAAAGTACTTAAAATTACAAGTAACATGTACCATGGATTGAAAATGTACCATAGTAAACCATTTAATATATTAATAATAAATGCATTCAGAAGTGCACAAGTACAATTTTCTAGGTACAGCATATCGACGAAAAATAACCGTACTCAAATATTTCTGTTCGTGTAAAGCGATGAACTTCGAGTATTTACCGGTACATTGTAACTATTTATCTTTAGTTGACCATATAATAAATAAAACTTAATTTATAACCATGAAGATTCATTTAGAAGCTGTTTGTCCCACTTGTACCAAAGCTTACTTGCAAGGAATACCCTTAATGAAGTACACGAATTGTGTGAATCTGTCCCTTTCAAGTATCAAGTCTTTTGTTAATCGATTTCTTAACCCTTTACAGTGCCGCTCGAGTGGCGTGTGCATCTCGTGGTTCTTTGTGTGCGACGGTCGCGCCGATTGCAATGACGACTCGGACGAGGAGTGCACCCACAATGCGCGCCTCAACCAAACCTGCCCAGCGGAGTCGTTCCGCTGTGAGCGCAGCGGTCGCTGCATCTCACGTGCGGCGCTCTGCGATGGACGCAAACAGTGTCCACATGGCGAGGATGAGCTGGGCTGCGATGGACACCAGAGGGGCGGCAACAGCTGTCCGGCGCACACGTTCCGCTGCAAGAGCGGCGAGTGCCTGCCGGAGTACGAGTACTGCAATGCGATTGTCTCCTGCAAGGATGGCAGCGATGAGCCACCGCATCTGTGCGGCTCCCGGGCCATGCCCAATCTGTTCATGCGTCTAATTGAGGCTGGCGGCCTGCTGGCCAGCCGCAACGAGCCGGACGCCTATTGCCCGCACCGCTGCAGCAACGGACTGTGCCGCTCCACGGCGATTGTGTGCTCCGGACGCGATGGCTGCGGCGATGGCACCGACGAGCAAACCTGCGCCGTCTGCCGTAAGTTTGAGCCAGCCCAGCCTGATGCCAAGAATCGATTTAATTTGTATTTTTTTTCTCACTTGCAGGCTGCCCGGCGCCCAAGGCTGCCAGCCTGCCCGCCTATTTGGCTAGACATCGCCCCATGCCGCTGTGGTAATACGATCTACATTCGATTTGCAACTGCAACACTGTTTCGCAACACTATTTCGTGCACTTTACCCACACTGTCAATTTGCCAATTATGTGCACCAATTGAAATAATTGATTTTTGCATTAGCATTTAAGTCGATTTAACGCTATTTATTTATTTATTTATTTATTATTTTGTTTGACTGCGCCTGCCACGCCCAATTGCCACCTTGCTAGCAAGGGATGCACAAAACATCCTTTGACCCAGCGATGCTGACAATTGTGCGCCCTATGCGCGATCTAACCAATACCCCCGCTTACCCATACCCCCTACCCACACCCCAAAATTCATATCGACAAACTTTACCCATTATTCACACACACACACACACACTATTTATTCTACTCACGTGCCCATTGAACTATTTATTTATGCTCACTTTTTACTACCCTACAAAAAGAAAAAACTTCATTCGCTTAGCTTAGTTTTATAAAATTATCTAATTTATTTAAATTATGGCCAGGCAAAAAAACAACGAGAACAGAAAAAAATCGGCAAAAATAATTGATGCATTTTTATAATAAATAAATTTGTTTGTAAATAAGTTAACAAATTGCTTGATGTACATGATAAATGGCTATAAAATGAAATTGTAAGGCATAATGTACCAATATCGAGCCCCTTATTCACTATATCTTTATATACATATACACATGTAGTGTGGGACCGTCACGACGGTTTGCCCAGATTTTCATCAAGTCAAAACGCATCACAACAAAATAAACCATTTAAGAGATCACAAAATGCATGAATTAAATAATAAATAAAAAAAAACGAACACAACTTATTTTTAAAATAAAAATGTCAAAAAATTATGAAAACCTGTTGTTTAATTACTTAGCAAAAGATAAAAATGTAAATATCTTTAAATATAATTAATTTAAGACGATTTCAGCGTGTTGGGTGTATGAAGGGTATTCGCAGTTTCAAAAAAGTTAACTAAATTTCATGACTTCGACAAAGCTTTCAAAAATATGTAGCCCATAATTTAATATGGATAAAAATCAACACTTGTGGAACACATACTAAAAATTACATTAACTTTGATGTTCACTTTTATGAAACAATTTTGCCACTTTTCCATTAATTTTTAAAGCTTTCTTAAATCAACAATTTTTTCATAAATCAATTAAAATATTGCTGCAAGGACATTTTTTTATTTTGTCAAGTCACAAGTGTTGTAAAGTGCCTATAATGTAGTGCTGTAAATGCCATGACGATTGTAACAGTATTCAGTCCAGTGTTGTAAGGCAACGTGCGAATGTAGCAGCAAATTACGTTCGTTAAATTAGCTCAAGCAAGTTTCAGTGCCCAGAAGGTGAGCTTTAATAAATATATATAATTTCTGTTTTTACTTTAAAGTTTCGTGTACAGTCTTAAAGATCAATGAGCATGACTGAGAAACAGCCGCTTCTCGAATGCATTGAGGAAAATGCAAAGGAACCTTACTCGCTGCCAGTAACATGGAAGTCGGTACTCAGCTATATCTATCGCCGTATATCGTTGCGTCGCAATCGGTTTATCGTTGAAGTTCTGTATGCCATATTCACCATGCTGATTGCCGGATTCTATATCTTATGCTTTTACCTAACGGGCGTTGCTAAGCCTAGGCGTGTGGATATTGCGCCAGTGTATCGGGATACTAATGTTTTTGGAATGGAAGGTTTGTTATCTAAGAAATATGACACGATAAGAGATATCGAAACTAAAAGAATCAACAGTAGATTTTGAGATGTGGCACAGATAGAATAGATATCTTGAATCCTAAACTGAATCTTCGAAGTGTATTTCTAGTAATAGGTTGAGCATAATTTTATCAATATGGAAATCCGAAAGAGATCTGTTCAATATCTAACGACAATATTTTTCGATCGAATTTACATGTTGTCAATCATTTTATATAGATCTCAATCCTATATCCTAACCTAAAACAGATCGAGCAAGGAAAATTATCATACGGCGAATTTCGCAAGGAATTGAGAGCCTTAGTTTGAATTTAATTTAGGCATAATAAAGTTTTAATACTAAGAAAAGAAAACAATATAGTAGTTTACAAATTATAATATATATAGATAAATTCTAAATTAAATTAAAAATTATTTTAAAAAATTTGTCTTGATCTCCAGAAAGAAGAGCATTAGAGCTTAATTGAGCAAGATTATTCTCTTAAAATGTTCTCTTTAACATAAGTCATAAATTTGAAGTGCAAAACAAAATTTAAGAATCATATTTCACTTACGTGCATTCACTCCATTTCCAAAAGCTCTTCCATCGATTCATCGATTTTTTATTCGAAATTCACTACGAGTTGCACAATAAAAAAAATTTAGAAAAAAAAGAAGGCACTGGGGTAAACACTTTTTTTCGAACTTCATTCGTTGCAAGGAAAAAAATAACGGAACTAAAGTACAAAAAAGAGGCAATTAAAATTTGACCATGCGGTTGCATTTTTTTGCCGAGCAAAAAATAAAAACTAACACCTTTTTTTCGCGTGAATCCCGATACAATGTGCTGCGTTTAGCTACGCTAATCTTATAAACATTTTTCACTTTTTCACTAACACTACACTTAAAAAAAAAAAAAAAAGAAAATATGCCGGCTCGCTTCTATTTGGCGACAATTCTTGCGCGATAAAGATAAATGCAGCTACGGCGTCGACGTCAGCCAGCAGGGAACGATTTTCAACTGAGTTTCGGCGACGGCGATCGTGTCTCTTCCTAATTCCATTTTCGAACTTCCATTTTCGAGCAGCCGAGAGGGAATATGGGAAATTCAACGGGATGTAATGAAAATGGAGTCAGCTGATTTAGCTACTTGCGTCATGGCGAATTAATGAGGGCAATAACAGGTGTTCTGTATACTGCTGTGATTATTTTATTCCTTTGGTTTTCGTTTTCGGTTTTCGGCAGTTGATATGAATTTATTGGAATATTACTAAGCGCCACACCTGCAATAGACAGTTAAACAATATTACGATATTTTTCCAATCAGAATTAGCAGAGTACGAGATCTTAACTTGAAGAGTGATTCGTACAACCCGCAAACTTCTTAATTTAGTTAGCTCACATATACTCTTATTCATTTCTTTTTTTTTAAGTTTTTTGGTAGCCCATTTATTATTTTCATTATTTTCTGACTGATTCAACATGTTCTTGCCAACCACCAATTGTTGTGTTCAGCCCACGAATTGACTCCTTGCCCATCAACAACGCAAATGCTTTTATTAAGGAACGATCCGATGATTGATCAGACAACCCTTTCGTCGCAAGGTTACCTCGTGTACAGCAATCACTGCCGGATTGTGAATCTAGATCCGTACAGGGACGAGGTGATGCTCCACTTTAGACGTGTGATCCACAGGCCCTGCAAGTCGGTGCCACCGCTTACCCAGGTGCACTACGACGCCAACGCCAAGCGCTACGTGCTAAGCATCGATGCCACTGCGTTCCCCAGATACAAGGTGGACAACATGCTCAGCTGCTGTTACATAGGCGTGCAGCGTTTCAATGAGGATGCGGTCAACTTAACGAAATGCCACACATTTGTCACCAGAGCTCAGCTGTCGAACACAACGGACAGCATCATTGTCTCCTGTAAAAATGATATAAAACAAATCTACATCAACGGACATCCAACCATACCGGAACGTGTGGCCGTGCGACAGCGACTGGAGCGCTGGGCGCACAAGGATCGCGGCCGGCGTGTGCCCAGCGTGCTGATGATAGGCATCGATAGCATCTCGCGTGCGAATCTCATACGTGCGATGCCCAAGACAGCACAGTATTTGTACGTCAAAGATTGGTTTGAGCTGGCGGGCTATAACAAGGTGAGTCCCATCAAATCTATATATGCAATCATAACTAAAGCTGTCTCCCGCAGATAGATGACAATACATTTCCCAACATAATGGCTCTTATGGTGGGCTACAATCTGACCAATGCCATGAAGCACTGTAATCCCTACCACGTGAACGGCCTAGATAAATGCGATTTCATTTGGAAGCTGTTCCAAGAACATGGCTATGTGACCGCCTACGGCGAGGATGCGATCAAGATCAATACATTTAATTACCGAAAAAAGGGTTTCCAGCAACCGCCTGTGGACTACTACTTGCGTCCGTATTTGATGGCCGCGGAAAAGCTACTCGGCGGCTACACAAAGTTGGGTCTGCCCCATTGCCTCGGCTTTGAGACGGAGGCGAAGCATGTTTACAACTATGCGCTGGAGTTCACACAACGTTATCGCAACGAAAGCTTCTTTGGCTTCTTCTGGACGAACACCCACAGCCACAGCGACATATCGCAGACCACTTTCATGGATAAGTATCTGCGTCGCTATCTACAGCGTCTGGTAGCGCAGGGCACGATGGAGCACAGCATTGTGGTGTTTTTCAGCGATCATGGGCTGCGCTTTGGACCGACACGTGCCACTTGGTCGGGTCACTTGGAGGAGCGGCTGCCTTTCCTGTTTATCTGGCTGCCGCCATTTGTGCGGAAGGCGCATCCGGAGTTTGTCGAAGCGCTGCGCCAGAATCGAAATCGTCTGACCACGCCCTACGATCTGCACATGACACTTAAGCACATACTCACGCTTTCGGGTCGCTCCGGCAGCCTGGAGTCGCTGGGCGGCGCCAAGGATTGCCCGCAGTGCCAGAGTATGTTGCTGCCAGTGCCGCTTAATCGCAGTTGCGAGGATGTGGCCATTGAGGATCACTGGTGCACATGCAGGGAATTTAAAAAATTTCACCGGAGCAAATTAGTGAAAAGACTGGCCAATCATGCGGTGAACCATATAAATAATTATATAGCCAGCTTTCGCAATGGCAGTCTCTCCCATCTGTGTGTGCCGCTAAAACTGCTCAGAGTCTTGACGGTTTATAAGGCCGAACCGAATGAAATCGATCCCAAACATATAGAAAGATATATGCTAAACATATTAACGTCGCCCAACAAGGCGCTGTATGAGGCAACGCTGTGCTACAACAGGAACCTGCCAGACGCGGAAAGCGTACAGTTGAGCGGCTCTGTCAGTCGTATTAGTTCGTACTTTGGCGAAAAAAGTTGCCTGGGCGAGGTGCCACTTAAAAAATATTGCCATTGCCGTCGCAAAGACCAAAACGCGCTTACAACTTCTAGAAGACTAACAAAAGAATGAACATTGTTTAATACATTCAGCTCAAAACTCCCTAAACATATTATGTAATTTCAATTTTTTCACTTTGCGCCAATTTGTATGCTACACTTGGCAACCGCTGAACAGGGTGTTCACTGTGCGCTGTGACCAACACCGGCTTTGATATTTGTTGTCATTTTGGGCAAGCACGTGCCTAAAATTCCACACACACACACACACACACTCACAGGACAAAACTCTCGCTGTTTTTTTTTGGAAGTGAGAGCCGCGTCGCGTACAAATGCTCAAAAGCATGCAACAGGTGCTGGGCGCTGATTGGTGGTCGAGCGAGAGAGCAAGCGGCGTTGGCGCTGACTGCGCAGTCGCTAAAACTGAAAGCGACAAAGCAAATAAACATTGCATGCTTTCAGGCGGCGCTCACAAAATGCAGCCGTCTGTTACGCTTTTGGCTCTCCGTCAGCGTCGCGTCGCGACGCAATTGCGAATGTGTGTGAATGTAGGAAAGCTCTCACACTCACATGCGAACGCCTCAGCCTCGCTGGCGCCAGCGTGCAAAATATTTGCTGTTATTATTATCTGTTTGCAGGCCACTGCAGCAGGACACGCGAGCGTCGTGTAGCTGTGTCTGTACATGTGTGTACGTGCGTGTGTACGTGTGACAAAATTGTACTTGTGTTTTTGTGTACTATTTGCGACGTGCTGCCATATAATTAAAATTAAACTGTTGCAATCAATAAATAGCTGCAAAAACGATTGCTAAATGCATTAAAGTGAGTGCAACATTAAAGACAACTCAACTATTTATAGAGTACAACAATTGCGAAAAAGTTCTGTACACTTTTGTGCATGCGTATGTGTGTGCGTGTGTGTGGGTGTTGGTGTTGGTGTGTGTATCCGAGTACGCGCAGCTTGTTAGTATCTATTGTGTCACAGATATGTTTGCAATTTTTACGCTGACGCTGCAACTGTATATTTTTCAATAGGAACTCGACAACACTTTGTGCGCTGTCTCTGTGTGTGTGCGTGTGTGTGTGTGGTTTCTTTGCTATTTTTACTACGTCACATCGTCCTCGACATAACTATACATACGTAGCTATTTGTCGTACGTGCAATGCACGTCGTAAGCCCTCTTATTCAAAATTACAAAAGCCGAACCCTGCAAGTGACTCATTTGGCGCAAGTTTCTTAAGATTTTGAAGACAAACTTAAAGTTCAATTTGTAATTTGATATGTCGTATATTCATAAAAGTTGTCTGGCTTTTGCACATGCTAAGCATTTATATTTGTTTGTACAGCTCTTGGTGTTTGTTTATAATTTTATTGTTTGATTTCACAATAAATTTACACATTCATCGTTAATTGAGACTCAATGTACATTCTACACGTGCATGGGCCAAGCTTAAAGCTTATAATTCGTAAGTTTACCAAAGATAAAACATTATGATAGTCAATGTGAGTAATGCATGAAACACTTCCAACTTATCAAGTCAACAGAAAAAAAATGGATAAGTGCAATCTAAGCCAAGATACAATCGACATGTGGTTAATGAAAATGCTTTTTAGCATGCAATCGAGTGAAAAGTGCAGCCCTTTTTTTTTGTTATTTGCTTAACTACCGAACTGTGGACAGAAACAAACAATTTGTATATAGATTTGTGTATAATAATAATACAAAAAAACTTCTCAATAATTCATAAACTTATACAGCAGTCTAAGCAAATGCTGCGCCCAACATCTGTGGCTTTGATTATCTGTTTGTTGCTTAACAACATTTGCATGAACATAAGCGTTAATTTATCTTTCGTGGGAATTGTCTGTAGAGAGAAATATAGTATATACTCAAAGCCCAGCTCGAAGTTAATTTCAATTACATTTTAATATCTCTTTCGATGGCTAACAGCAAACTATTGTGTCATAGTCGGAAATCGTGATGCTTCAAAACCAGCATTGAGCATTGTATAATCAATCATTGTTGCTTTTGGCCGTACTCATGGACGAAAAAAAGAAAACAAAACTTCAAACCATTAAGAACACAAATGTTCAAGGTTGATGAGCTACGAAATACGCTGGGATTAATGATACTTTTTTAATAGGCACTAAAAATAAAACTATTAAAATATGATATGAAACAATTTGAAAAATGTTGTCTTCTATTATTAGAAATAGTTTCTAAATATAAAAGTTGAAAGAGTTGAGGAATTAGCCACACAAATTTCACGCAAATAATTTTACACACTATATTATCTCTGCTATTTGACTTTTGAGTAATTACAGCACACTTTTAACTAATTACTTAAGTAATAAAAATAATACAAATACTCAGATTAACGACGAAATTACAAAAATATTAAAATACAAATTCCAGACTGAGAAACTGGGAACTTAATTTCAAAATTTCAAAAATGTTGAATTACTTATTTCATTCAGAAATGTTCGATCAAAAATGTTTGAACAAAAACGTTCGATTCGAGCAGAAATGTTCGATGGCTTGATTTTATGTTCGAACCGTAATCCTGCCTCAAGCTTGAATTCGTTAACCTGGTTTTTCCAACCTTAGGCCCAGATTTTGGTTCAAGCTTCTGACATATATTATCAAAATAGTTCAATTTGTTATTGCCAGTTCTACAGAAAATATTTCATGCTGTGCATATTTTTCTAAAGAAGCTGCGGGCTTAATTTAATCTCTACCCAAAATTTGCACACAACTATGTCTCATGCCCTTAAATAACAGGGTATGCAAATCATCAAATGCGCTAAGGTCATAATTACACTGATGTTTCGACGATAATCCAATGCAAGTGCCCGTGATCAATGCATTTATATGCATATAGCCACTCGGCTAGACCGAGTTACAGCCGAGGGTAAAACTACAAAAATTGAATGATAGTCGACAGCCGAATAGCTTCGTGATTGGGCAAACTTGATGGCGAACGCTGGCGATTGCGAGGGGGCCCAACGCGATTCGCTTTCGTCAGCAATTGCAGCTAAATTTTTGTATCTGTATCTTTTTTTTTTCTCTCTTTTTTTAAGTGCTCACGGATCGCTCGTCGCGTACGGTTCGCAGCGCGTTAATTTTCTGTTTTGCGCATATTTCAATTTATGTCAATTTCAATAAATCTCAAAATATGTCGCAATGGCTAATTAGTTTCGTTTAACCCCTTATCAACCCCATCGAAAATACATGTATAGCGGACCTCTAACCTATTCGCGCCAGTTTTAATTATTGTGCATAAACTGAAATTGTAAACAAACTGTTAAAAAAAATAAACTATCGCTGTTTGTTTTTAACAACATTGCAGAACCAGAAAATTTGTCTCGATTCGTTCTTGACAGTGAATATGTGCGGCCAGTGTAGTGCCCGGTCTAAACATAGATGCTCTGAAATAAGTTCAACAATTGCAATCACATAATAATTTCTTTTCGAGCTCGAAGCACGAAAATGTCAGCCAAATATCGCGGTAAATGCGATTTTTAACTGAAATCGAAACGGAACCCATTCTAAAAGTGAGTGTTGAGATCAGCATAAAAATTATTTCGTCAAAATATTCATAATCACTAAAAGTGGAAATTCTGGACAAGAACAATCCCAACTGCTAGTTACTCTGTTTTCAGTAAAAATAACAGCTTAACAAATATGGGAAAGAGCTTCAAGGCAAGAAAATCTTATTGGAATAATAACTTTATATATAATATATATGTGTATTGGCAAAATATATTTGAACTTTTTTTTTATGGACAACATCTTGAATTTGTTGAGAATAGTTTTATGAAAATGACAAAACCTTTTTTTAAATGACAAAAATATTTTTAATTTAATCTTTTTTTGTGTTCGAAAATTATGATTGATCGGCGAGAGGCGTGGAAATATTCTAATTCTAATGAATATGCATACGAAATTTGACTAAGCAAGCTTTAGATGGAATGGAAAAATATTAAAATAAAGCCCGGACAGACGCAAGGTAACTGCAACTCAATATACCCTAGTACGATTTGAGAGCAGGGTATTTAAAACGAGTTGCATCCGCATTTGCAAAGCTTTACGCTTTGGGTTTAGCACACATATGAATCATAACACATATTTCCATACAATTATTGTACCCTATAAATTGACTAACAATTAAACAAAATAGATATGTATATATAGATATTTATACAGCTGTCGTCCCAAATTCAACTAGTGTGCGGTGTGTGTGTGTGTGTGTATGTGTGCGAATTTATGTTTTATGGCATGGTTACAGGGTAGCTGCTGGTCGAGCACTCTTTGCAAGCGTTTCATTTGTATTATGTTTAACGTATGGCAAAACAACTTTTTAATTTCTATATTTCTTATTAGGGTAATTTAAAGTTAATTACCATTTTGCATAATTCATGACTCTTTTTTTTCAATTTCTATTGTTAGTTGCTTCACCACGTCTTAAATTACTTTTTAATTTGCAGCACAATATTTAATATTTGCATCCTATTTATTGAAACACGCAACGGTTTTTGTGAATATGTTGTGTCAGCTCTTTCGCATGCTGCGCTTAATTATCTACATATTTATATACACTGTTCGAAATTTAAAAAAATGAGCATATCGGTTCTCTACTACAATGCTCCCATCAAAAGGCTTAGTACGAGAAGGTTAAATATATAAATCTTTACTTACCGAAATCTGAATAGTTATTTTCACGAATGTTCTCTTCGACTTCGTACAAAATGGCGCGCAGTTGGTTGCAACCGTGCTTTCTGCTTTTTATGCCCTGCACACATTGCGGTAAATTGGGTTAATGCAGGCTTAAATTATTTAGCGCAAATGTAGTGCCAAAAACTAGCTATACAAATCCTTGAAAGTATTTATATATTTTTCACTCACAGCGGATTCGCCATTTCCATCTGTGTGGGCCTTTCGCCTTACGCCCATTATTGAGAATATATCAATATCACAAACTATAAAGCCAAAAACTTCCAATTGAGCTCGTCGTGTGCAAGTCGTGATTAAATCGTGATTGAAATTATCGATAGCTCGCTCTAATTGCACGATATCGATAAGCACCGATAGCGATATCCTGTTTTTAAACGATATTTAGGCGCTAACAAGAACTGAACGAACCAACTTATATTTTTAGGCTCTAAACATTTCCTATTTAGCATGGAAGAAGGATCGAATGATTGCAACAGAGTATCTCCCAGTCGAGCAGAGCCGTTTAGACAATGTTTGCTTGTTTTTCCCGCATCACTTATAACTGTTTATTGCTTCTTATCGTTTCTGGATCACTCGGCAGACCAAACTGAACCAAAAATGATGCCGCAAGCCAGCCAAAACAAATAATTGCGATGGCTGACCAACGGCCGCTGCTTGAGTACAATGACGACGAGACGAAGGATGGCAACGCAGATGCCCCGGAGCCGGCCTTGACGGGCATTAGCTTTAAGCACGGCGCCACACCCTCGCTGGCCTGGTACGGCCGTCAACTGGTGCTGCGCCGTAAGCTGCTCATAGGCCTGTTGCTGATATTCATATTCTCCTATTTCCTCATCGGACCGGCCGATGTGTTGGACCTGGAGAACGTGCAGGTGCATCATCAGTCCAATGTATTGGACATGGAAGGTAGGGAGGAGCCCTAACTCTGATATTTGTTTAGAGATCCGTTTTATGCAATTTGTTATCTAGTGTATTTGCAGCTTTTGTGTTGTCTTTTGTGTTTATTGTTGTTTTGTATGCGTTTTTTTTTTGTATTCCCTGCATGGTCCGCCTTAAATTTCCCACCCACAACCAACTGTTGTGCTCAGCTGTCGATTTGATCCCAACGCAACCGCTTTTATTGACAACCATTGAGCACACAACTAATCTGATGCAATCATCGATAACCCCTATGCCACAAGGCTATCTCGTGTACAGCAATCACTGCCGGATCGTGGACCTAGATCCGTTCAAGCGCGAGGTGATGCGCCATTTCAAGCGCGTTTCCTACAAGCCCTGCCAGACACGCCCGCCACTCACAAGGGTGCACTATGATGGCAATGCACAGCGCTATGTCCTGAGCGTGGAATCCACGGCTCTGGCCAGCTACAAGAAAGGCAGCGCCCTGAGCTGTTGCTATATGGGCGTGGAGCGTGCCAGTGAGACAGATGTCAACTACACGCCTTGCCAGAAATTTAAAGGTTTAGCTCAGTTGTCCAACACCACGGACAGCATCATAGTCAAGTGTAAATCGGCCAAGGAGCGAGTCTACATCAACGGACATCCAACCATACCGGAACGTGTGGCCGTGCGACAGCGACTGGAGCGCTGGGCGCACAAGGATCGCGGCCGGCGTGTGCCCAGCGTGCTGATGATAGGCATCGATAGCATCTCGCGAGTGAATCTCATACGTGCGATGCCCAAGACAGCACAGTATTTGTACGACGAAGATTGGTTTGAGCTGGCGGGCTATAACAAGGTGAGTCCCATCAAATCTATATATGCAATCATAACTAAAGCTGTCTCCCGCAGATAGATGACAATACATTTCCAAACATAATGGCTCTTATGGTGGGCTACAATCTGACCAATGCCATGAAGCACTGTAATCCCTACCACGTGAATGGCCTAGATAAATGTGATTTCATTTGGAAGCTGTTCCAAGAACATGGCTATGTGACCGCCTACGGCGAGGATGCGATCAAGATCAATACATTTAATTACCTAAAAAAGGGTTTCCAGCAACCGCCCGTGGACTACTATTTGCGTCCGTATTTGTCTGCCGCGGAGAAGCTACTCGGCGGCAATATAGTACTTGGTCTGCCACACTGTGTGGGATTTGAAACGGAGGCGGAACATGTGTACAACTATGCGCAGGAGTTTGCCAAGCGCTATCGCAACGACAGCTTCTTCGGGTTTTTCTGGACGAACACACACAGCCACAGCGACATATCGCAGACCAGCTCGATGGATGAGTACCTGCGTGGCTATCTACAGCGTCTGGTGGCGCAGGGCACGATGGAGCACAGCATTGTGGTGTTTTTCAGCGATCATGGGCTGCGCTTTGGACCGACGCGTGCCACTTGGTCGGGTCACTTGGAGGAGCGGCTGCCTTTCCTGTTCATCTGGCTGCCGCCATTTGTGCGGAAGGCGCATCCGGAGTTTGTTGAAGCACTGCGCCAGAATCGTAATCGTCTGACCACGCCCTACGATCTGCACATGACACTTAAGCACATACTCACGCTTTCGGGTCGCTCCGGCAGCCTGGAGTCGCTGGGCGGCGCCAAGGATTGCCCGCAGTGCCAAAGTATGTTGCTGCCAGTGCCGCTTAATCGCAGTTGCGAGGATGTGGCCATTGAGGATCACTGGTGCACATGCTGGGCGTACGATAGCGTCTACAAGAACTCCAAGACAGTGCGTCAGCTGGCCAAGCGTGTGGTGCACTATCTGAACGATTATATTAACAATTTTCGTAATGGAAGCCTGGCCCATCTGTGCGTCCCGCTGTCGCTGCAGAGCGTGAGCGCCGCTTACAAGGCGCATCCGAATGACAGCGAGCCTGGCCATATACAGATCTATTGGCTAATCTTCTATACCGCACCCAATAAGGCGCTGTACGAGGCAACGGTGCGTTACAACACCCAACTGCCCGAGGAGGATAACCTGCTGGTGACCGGCTCTGTGAGTCGCCTCAATACGTACAGCGGGGAGGCCGATTGCATGAACGATTTTGCAATTAAGAAGTATTGCTATTGCCGTCACAAGGGCGCTTGATTCGAATCGATTATATGGGATTCATATATTATTTAGATTGCTTAGTCTTAAGCCCCCAAGTGCCGTTAATAGTAGTTGTTCTAGGGCTAAGCAAAGGTAGATGTTTAACTCTCCCTCTAAGTAGCCGCCGTGTGGGCGTTAACACCTCGACTCGGGAACATTTCCAGAGCAGCAACGTGATAATATTTATTTAACTAGTGTAAATAACAATTTTTTTTGTACAGGAAATGTACAAGGATTTACATTGAAATGCAAAGGCCAGACGCGTCTTAAGATATAACTTTTCGTGCAAAGGAACAGAATATAGCGACTCCAAGCGGTACGTCTTCTCTGTGAGTGTAGCTAACTTCTTAAGTCAGTAAATGGAAAGATGACAAACCTAACGCTACACGAGAATCTTCTAGATAAACGCAATTATTAATTTCATGTACACATGAATCTCCTTTTATTCGGGAGTACCTGTTCGATCAAAGCTAGAATCAGGATTAATTGAACCGAATTGTTAGTTATGCTGTCCTTCAAGTTCGTTTCAGGAACCGATGAGGGATAAGCAACCTTGCTTTCTTCACATTGGTTGTAGTTGTAGTCGGGTTGAAATCAACTTTCTTTTCTGTTCTATGAGCCTTTCGGTTCACATAAAGAAGAGGAAATGAACGGTCTTACATTTATTTTTTAAGATATTTGGGATTGGTTCTTTAATTACAACACAATTATCGCCACTTTTAAATACATTTCGATTCTCCTCGAGAAGCATAAGGAAAATTTGATTATGTCTGTATCATAAACTAGAGCTTGGAAATTTGCTAGTAGAAGAATCCAAGAAAAAACCCCAAATCTTAATTAAATGAGAAATAGGAAAGCAAATGACCATTGTAAATAATAATTTCTCACTTCTAACGTTCTTTATGTATATATTACTCGATTCCCAATTACATATATTTAGAAACCAAACAAACAACGAATGCCAAGATTTCAATTATTATTATATGTATATTCAAGTATTTAAGTTTAAGTAAAACTATGTAACTAAAAAAATTTGTGACAAGTTTATTTCATAGATACAAATTTAGTAAAGCGTTGTTTTGTTTATTGTAATAGGAAATGAAAACAAATGAACCAAAATAAAATATATACTTATATATATATATTGATTTCGCGTTTGGAAATAATTCAAAACTTAGTCGAGAATTGCAATTGATTTATTGTGAGCAATGTGGATAAATAGTCAAAGATGTCACTAACCTAAAATTTAAACGGATTTGTAGACATATATATAGAGAAATATATGTGTATATACGATATGGAAATGTTTTAAGCTATATGTACATTTGCTGATTTTCTAAGGGGCATAACTTGTAATTTGTCAAATGAGCCATTGCAATTCTCTCTTTTGTACCTAGCTCACACATAGATCTTGTGTATAAACTGATTTCACAATAATTTCATGTAGTTCGTGAGCTACTAAAAAAAAAAATAATATATCGTACGGGTCTTGTTTCAGATATTTTTTTTCTGTTCTTTTCTTTGCAGTTCGTGTTTTGTTTTTTTTTTTTGTTTTTTTGTTTTTTTTTTCTGTTCGGTAAACAAGGACTTCTGTGCTTTTTTTTCGAGGGGGAGGGGGGCGTGGAACTTAATGCTGATACTGTTGTAGACTGATGACCTTCTCCCTGAAGCTGTAATTGCACAACATATTCTTCAGGGATTTAAAGAACTTGGTTAGCGGACTGTGTCGCTGCAGGCCGAGAGCATCGCTTGGCATCGGTTGCAGTTCCAGGCGCAGCTCCTTGAAGTCCTGCCCAATGACCAGCGAGAAGCGGCCGCACAGATTGACAGCATAGTTGGCACTATTGGGGCGTGTTTTGAAAAACTCAATGGTCTGCTGTAGTTGATGGGCAAAGAATTGTCGTGTGGAGCGTTGAAAGTTGCGAGCACTCCACGTATCCAGAGATGTGTTGATCAGCCAGGTAAAGTGTTGCGGCAGTGCATTGCTATTTATATTGGTTGTCAGGGACTCCTCTGGATCAATTAGTTTCAAATTCAAGCCATAAATATTTGTTAGAATATCCTTAATAGCATCCACATAACATTCCACCCAATAGTAAAATATTGTTTGAGTTACATTCCGATGTTTACTCAGGAAATCAGCACGCAAGCTATTCAGGTCATTTTTTGTTGGTTTCAGTGTATGGACATGCATTAGCGGCGGTCCGTTTTCCACCGAGCTGCTCGATGATAATCTCTCTTTGGGCGTGGCAGCTACTTCAGCTGCAAATTCTGCTGCCGCAACAACTGCACAATTGGCGGTTGCAGCAACTGCAGCATTTGCCGCTGCAGCAACTGTGTTTGTGCTCGTTGCAGCAACTGCAGGCTTTGCCGCTGCAGCAACATGCGTTCTGTCCATGGCTTTAACTGCGACGATCTGTGTTGTTGCCTCGGATTCTTCTGGCTGTGCTCTCTGCATCGGCGCCTGTTCCTGTTTATTTAACATTTGTTTTCGCACCTTGGCCGGCTGCTCCTGCTCCAGGCGCTGGGCCTGCAACAGTTTCTCGGCCAGACCAAAAAGCAAATACTCATATAATTTCGCAGGCGTTGAGACCAATTTTTGATCGCTGCACGCTTTGGTGGCCAGCGCCAGACACTGACGCAGATAGCAGAGATTCGTTATGGATATGGACTGGCCAACATTGTGCTGCAACTCGAATGGATCCTGAACGCAAACGCAACGTTGATACTGAAACGGTTCCGGCTGCTCCCCCGTAGCTTTATGCATGGCTTTTAATTGTTCCTCGTACTCGGGAAATTTGCCCGGCATCGAAAAGGCCGTCTCCAAGTCCAGTGCGCAGCCCAAATAGGGCGACAGCAGTTTCTTCTCAAATTCCATTTGACTGTAAAACTCAAAGAAACTGGAGATGAGATCCAGCGTGGTCAAACTGGCCGGTATTGGGCGCACGTGCTGAAAGCTATATGCATAATTGACGCCCATCACCTCCAGAACCGGGCAGCGTGCCTGCAGCTGCTTGATCGATGGCAATTGTCTACGCTGCTGCATGCCAAATATGATGAGGGTGATCAGGCAGTAGCTGGTCATGCTGCCGCTGCCAATGATCTTCAGTTTCTTGGCCCACAATTTCAGGAACAGGAATAGCTCCCTCATGCGCACATCCCGGGCCAATAACTCGGCAACAAAACGCGAATTGTACGTGCTATTCGGACTGGACATATTAATGTCCAGACTGAGACCGCTGTTAACATGCTTGCAGCGTATGATGGGCACACGGGCGTGTCGTATAGCAAACACATCCTGGAAGCAATCGGTACGCCGCAAAAAGTTGTAGATCTTGTTGAACAATTGACGATGGGACATGCTATTTGAGCTGGTGTCGGTTTGTTCCAGAAACAGATCAATGTCACTATCTGCAGAGGAAGCGGGCCATCATTAAAGCAGCTGGCATGCATAATTATGGGAATTACTAACCTTTTAAAGCCAAGCCTGTTACAAGTGAGCCAAAGGGATAAACCTTTACCCTGCCCTGCAACTGTTTCTGTAGGGTCTCTCGCACTTGGGCAAAGCAAGCTGATAGCTCATTACAGTTGCCGGAATAGAAAGCCAACACGGCGTGCAAATGTTGGCCAGCCGGTGCCTGGACGAGTGTCGACTTCAGCACGCGACGTTCGCATTGTATTTGCTCGCTGGCAAATAGCTTTGTGATGGCATCCAAGCATTTGCGCAGCTTTTTCTGTGGGTTAATCGTGTGCTTAATCAACTCGTGCGCCAGGCAATCCTGCAGTGTTTTAAAGGGCGCATCGCACACCTTGCAGTGCACCGATTCGTCCTGGGACGGCCTTGTGCGAGTTTCCAAGTCGCTCATTTCTGTAAAAACCAAATTTTAAAAGCAACTGATTAAAACACAAACTTTGTACATTTTATTTACAGGGCACATTTAAACTAAAGTCTAAGGCACAGCACATACGATATACACTAATATACCCTCAAAATCTGATCTTGATCATCATGTCAAGGACTTGCCCGTGCGTCTATCAATGACGCGCTCGAAATACCGTGGACTTATACAGCCATCGATGCCGGCGCAGAGTATTACATTGTTGCTGGACCGGAATAGCTCCAGCTGATCTTCGAGCACTTTACCCACATTCAAATGGATGAGCACCTGGCAATCGCCGCGAAAGCCACTCACTATGGCATCTCTACGACCGTTTAGCACGGCAAAATGCACATGATTCCGTTGCATACGACGGAGGCCCTCAGTCTTGATCTGCTCCCAGTTTTTATAGTAGGTGCCGTGCACCACCTGCACCTCGGCTAGCTCGGAAATGCTGTTAATGCGCTCCAGGCATGCCTCAGCCTGCACAGCTGCTAGCGAATGGCCCTGATTGGCGCGTATCTCCTCGGCATCGGTTAGGGGATTGCAACGCATTCTGTAACGCTGCTTCGCATCGGCAGCTACGATTTCCCGCAACTTTTCTATGCTGTAGTCTGCGCCATAGCGCGGATGCTGTAAAATATCCGCAACGCTCACATATCCATCTGGCTGTATTGTGAGTCCCTCCTTTTGTGCGCCATGACGCAGCAGCCAGGAGAGCCGTTTGCTCAATTGGATATCGGATTGCGCCTTAGCCATAGTTGACAGTTGGATTTGTTACTCACGTGTTTAAATTTCGCTATTTTTGTGCGAGCCACCGAAAGAACGTGAAATCATGTTGTTAAAAAACAGTTTATGATTATCGTGCATGCAAAATTATCGATTTGCCTATCGATATCAGCGAAAAATATGTCAGAGGTGGCACTGAGAGTCGCACTATCGAAATTGCTGTGACGTCACAGCTTAAGAGTTCACTTGGGGTAACTTGAACATGCAATGCTAAATATGTGTATGAAAACATATCTATTTCAATTATATTTTGCTTTACGCTTGACTGATTAGCTTAAAATCAAATTTAATTATATTAAATTTAAATTTAAATGCTTTCAGCTGGACGCTACCTTACACACTGCGAGCATTGTGTTTAGAACAGCTGACCGTGGCCGGCTTTGTGTCCAATTGGAATTACATTCCCTTTCGAAATTCTTTTATATTAAAAATTATGCGTATTTTGGTTCTTTATGGTAGTCAAACTGGCACCGCACAGGATGTGGCTGAACAGATATGGCGCGAATCGCGTCAATGGGGCTTCCAGGGCCCAGTACTCGCTCTTGAGGATTACAATATGCAGCAGTTGATAGAGGAGCGCCTTGTGATCTTTGTGGTGGCCACCACCGGCGATGGCACGGAGCCCGACAATATGAAACAAGCCTGGCGCTTTCTACTCAAACGCAGCTTGCCCAGCAACTCACTGGAGGGTCTACAATTCGCTTGCCTTGGACTCGGTGACTCCAGTTACCCAAAATTCAATTATGCCGCCAAAAAGCTGCACAAGCGCCTGCTGAATCTAGGCGCCAAATCTATTTGCCCGCTCGGCCTATGTGACGATCAGCATGACTACGGCCACTTGGGCACATCGCTTGCCTGGATAGCGGATCTGTGGCAGGCACTGAGCAGCACATCGGCCGTGCGCAAACAGGCGGAGCAGGAGATTGTGAAGCGGTGGAAGGTGCGGGTGCTGGAGCAACAGCCCGATCTAAATGAGGAGCGCCTGCATTGGACACAGCGGCAGGAAGCACACGTCTTCAAATTAATAGAAAACACGCGCACCACAGCTGAGGATCACTTTCAGGATGTGCGTTTGCTGCGTCTCAACAGCGGGCAGACGCCCACCTGGCAGCCAGGCGATGTGCTCGAAGTGCAGCCACAAAATAGCCGTGAACATATTCAGGAGTTCTTTGATTTGCTCAAAGAACATCAGCTCGACTTTAATGCCAGCACGGTGGTCGAAGTGAGCAGCGCTCACGCGGATTTGCCGCTGCCTTTGCCCTACGCCACACCCATATCGCTGCAGCAGGCAGCCAAGTATATTTGGGACTTGAGCGCCAGGCCCAGGCAACGCTTGCTTGAGGTGCTCGCACAGAACTGTGAGGATGAGATGGAGCGCGAGAAACTCCTGGAGTTTTGCAGCGCAGAAGGTCTGGACGATCTGATAGCCTATGTGAACAGACCGCGTCGCACGCTTTTGGAGCTGTTGAGTGATTTTCGGCAGGCCATGGCCAAGCTGACGCTATCGCACCTATTCGAAATGATGCCTTTAATACAAACGCGCAGCTTTTCCATTGCGTCGGCTGCCTCAAGCGGCACGCTCGATTTGCTAGTCGCCGTGGTCAATTACAAGACCATAATGCATACGCCGCGCTTGGGCCTGTGCTCCAACTGGCTAAAGGGCTTGAAGGCGGGCGAGGAGCTGCGCGCCGCTATCAAGCCCGGCACCATGAACTGGCCCAAAGAGCCGGAAACACCGCTTATCATGAT